GTGGGGCTGGCATGGGGCGGGGAGCGGGCAGGGACAGGGCTGGCACAGAGCGGGGTGGCACGAGCAGGGAGCAGGGGTGGTGCAGGGCTGGGGCGGGCAAGGGGCGGCCGTGGGGCAGATGTGGGGCAGAGAGGGCACGAGGAGGGGCAGCCGTGGGGCCGGGCACAGCGGTCGCCGGGGGCCGCTTCGCACCGTGTTCGGGGCGGCGGGGCAGTGCCAGCCGCCGGGGCCAGGCGGCCGCGGCACAAAGCGTCCCCTTGTCCCCAGCGGGTCACGCGGCGCCAGCGTGCCCGCAGCCCCGCCGGGGGCGGCGGTGCCGGCGAGGGGCCCCCCCGCGCCCCCCGCGCCCCACTCACCATGCTGGCGGCGCCGGCGCTGCGGCACACGGGGCAGGCGGGGGGCACGGCGCTTCGCCGGGGCACCTGCGCATGGGAGCAGCCTCAGCACCCGTGGCACCGGTGCCAGCCCTGCCCACCCTCCCGGGGCACCCAGTGGGGCCGGCCCCACTGACCCCCCTCTCGTGGCACCCACCAGTACCAGCCCTGGGCACCCCTTCCCGTGCCGGCCCCGGTGACCCGGCGGCTCCGGCTCAGCCCGAGCAGAGATTAACGTAATCCCAGAGCAGCTCAGCGCTGCCAGGGGCACCCGCAGCCCTTCCTCCAAGGTGCCCTGTGGCAAGGGGCCYGGGCGCCCGGGGCTGCCCCCCTGCACCCCCACATGTGGGCATGCCTTCGTGCCCAGCCGGGCATGGGGTGCCTGCCAGGCAGGGTGCTGCCAGGATGTCCCCATGGGGCACATGACACCCAGCGATGGGACTGGGGACACACAGTGCAGACCCCTGCCCGCCTGGGCACCCAGACCACCCCCGGGCAGCCACTTCCCCTGCCAGGACGCCGGGGCCCTGCCGCCGGTGCCCGGGGAGGATTCGGTGGTSGGGAGCACGCGGGGACACGGGGCACGGGGCCCCTAACCCCCCCGCGCCGCCGCGGTGCCCCCCAGCCCCGTGGCCCGGATTAGGGAGGCGCGGGACAGAGCCCCATTGTTCACACAGGCTGGGGCCGGCGGGGGGTCACCCCGCAGCCCCACTGGGGACAGCGGCACCCTCACGCACCCGCCGGGCGCTCCCGCGGGGGCACCGTGGGCCCGCAGCGTCGCCCACGAGGACCCCGGGAGCTGGGGACCCGCRTCCCCGTGCGCCCCAGCAGCCGCTCCCCGCGCCGGGCACGTCCCCCGCGGCGGTGCCCGCGCCGCGGAGCTGCCACGCCGCACGTCCCCCGGCTTAGGGCTCCAGCTGCCCCGGCGTCACCGCCGCTGGCACCGTCACCGCCCGCCCGCCGGCACGTGCGCGGCCCCCGCGGCAGTGGGCACGGGCTCCCCCCGCCACGCGGTGCCCCCCACGCACG